TCTTTAGCCAATTAAGAATCCAAACTCCTGTTATCCAGTAAGTGGAAAGCACACCCAGGACAGAAAACTGGTGGCATTCTTCTCGGGGTGAGCAATAGAACATTTGCCCTGAGTCACCAAGCTGAACTGTGCCTTTCACATCTTGCAAGTCTTGATTACATTGTTTCACTAGTCACAAGAGGCAGTTCCTGAAAATGCTGCCGAGGGGCCTGGCCTTGTGGAATTTGCTCTACCTCTTTGTGGACGTGATAGACAGCCACAATCTAGTGTGGCTTCACCAAGCTAGTCTGCAGCTGGGCTTTGCTATCCGCAGTCGTCTGCACTGTGGTTCTAGAAACCCAAAGGGACTCAGAGAGTACTTCTACACGGAGTGGCTATAGCTTCAGCTGTCCTGGAAAAGTGGGTAGATTCAGACTCAATGCACATGTAGGCAGTGTACTTTATTTCTTCTCTAACTCCGGAAGGTTCCCAGGTCTCTCTGCTTTAGGAACGCACTGAATTTCAGGGCACCGTTTAGCCATTTTGTCCTCTGAGATCTTTTTTTCTTGCAACTTGGGTTCAGTAGAGCTCCCCAGCCGCATTAACTAATGTGTGTATTGTAACCGTTGGTTTATATCTGCCTCTCTTGGTAGAATGTGTTCTTAGTGTCTTGAGCTCTTGATTCAGGGCTTCATGCATAATTTTGCTGAATGAATTATTGTGAGCTTGACAGATGGCCATGCCATGAAGTGTGGGTCTCAGCAGCCTTTTGCCTCATGAAATTAGCCCTTGCCTGGCAGTGGGATGCCAGGCTGCTTGTCCGTGAAGGCTGGCTTAGATATAGTCTCCTCTGAGCCCTGAAACACTGATGCCCTTGAGCAGAAGCACGGAGAGTTTGTTCTTGGAAGCAGCCACAGCCTAAAGTCCTAGGGACAGTCTAGTCAGCTCCTGAGCTCCTGGTCTTTGGTGGCTAACTTTGCACCATCAGTTCAAGGGCAGAGAAGCATCTTCCCCTCTGTGGCAGTGGGGACCAAGTGGGTCTCTGTTCTCTGGATCATTAGGAAAGTGTGAGTATGCATTCTATTTTCAGCTAGCCAGCCTGGAAATCAAAAGATATGTTGATGAAGAGTCAAACTCTGTAAAATATTTTAAGAGATTTATTCTGAGCCAAATACGAGTGACCATGGCCTGTGACACGACCCTCAGGTCCTGAAACATGTACCCAAGGTGGTTAGAGTACAGCTCGATTTTATAGACTTTAGGGAGGCATGAGACATCAATCACATACATTTAAGGAATACATTGGTTTGTTCCAGAAATGTGGGACAACTTGATGCAGTGGGGGCTTCCAGGCTGCAGGTAAATTTAAACATTTTCTGGTTGACGATTGGTTGAGTTTGTCTAAAGACTTGGGATTGATAGAAAGGAAATGTTCAGGTTAAGATAAAAGACCGTGGAGACCAAGCTTCCTTTGAAGTCTTACAGTAGCTGCCCTTAGAGATAATAGATGCCAAGTGTTTCCTATCCAGATCTTTAAAAAGTGCTTGACTCTTAGGCCATCTCTTTAGGATTGGGAGGGCCTGGACGAAGAAGATCTAGCTATGTTAAGAGAGACTCTTTACAGAGGCAAATTTTCCCTGACAAACGATGGCTTGCAGAGCCATTTCAAGATATGGCAAAGAAACATGTTTGGGGGAAAAAATTTTGGTTTTCTTCCTTGTCTTGGAATGTTATACCAGAGTCAGGTTGGGAAAGAAGTCATGATATACAGGTTAAATAAAGCCCATCTGAGGAGAATTTATGGTTTGTAGAGCATGACTCCCCAGAGTCCTTAGATAGGAATTTGGGCAAGATAAAAACAATCAGAGCTTAGTCCTCAGGTGGGAATATTTGTTTTACACTTGGTAATAAATTTCAGAGTGGCCGTGGTGAGGCAATCTGACTAGCTCAGATTTTGAGCTGTGTCCTAACTCAGAGCCACAAAACCATCCTGCTCGCTAACAGACGCTATGTGGTTATAAACACAGATAGACGTCTTTTTATGTAAGGGAATGGGAAGTACGGGGTTGTATTACAAAGGTTTGGATGTAGACAAAAACTTTTCTGATTCCCTGAGCTGGAGGGCAGTTTGTCCTTTAAAGCAAGTAGATTCTCATTTCAGCCTTTGTTCAGAGGGAAAGCTACTTCTTTGGGTGTCAATTAGGTCAATTTAATTTCTATTTGTTTGACCCACAGCTTAGATTTATTTTCCGTCTTTTGGGATTCCATCATTTATAGCTGAAGTGATAAGCTTAATCTAAAGCCTTGCAAAGTGAGGTCAATGATACTAAGTCCCAAGATTCCTAGTGGGATTGTCTCAGAAACCAACAAGGTTCTGAGACAAGGCTTCGAACTTTTCCCTTAGAAAGACATTTTCTATTCAAACCACTTATTTAATCCCTCTATGGCCTCCACTTCTCCATTCATTTGTTTATGCTGTGCACTTATTTAGCTCAGCTGCCTATTCATTTATTCAACAGACATTTGCATAACATGCATCAGTGTCAAACCCAGAAGTTAGCAGATTGAAAAACAAGACAAATCAATGGTCTCAGAATTTCATAACAAATGTCAGAGCCAGGAGAGCATCTAGCATGTCCTGTCTTGGGTTTTAGATCTCTGATATAAAGGCCAAGGTTAGAATTGACTATCCCTCCCCACTTCGTCCTCTCTGTCCTTCCATAAGAATACTGCTTCTACTTTACGTTTTCTATATTCATAATTCCTCTTCCAATTATGAAAGTAATCTGTTTATTATATAAACTGAAAAATACAAAAAGGTTTAAGAAAGGGAGAAAGAAAAAATTATTCTAAAAGAGTTGCTGTGAACATTTTTATGTAATTTCTCTCTTTTCTGTTGTTTAAAAATCTAGTCAAGAGTATTTCACGTAGACCACCTTATTTTCCAGTTTTCACTTCATGTTATAACATAAACATTTCCTTTTGTTACTCTAAACTATCTACATTATTTTAATGGAGATACATTCTTCATTCTACAGGTGTAACCTTATTCACTTTAGTAATCTCCTTTTGTGTGAGAGTATCTTCTCCCTTGCTTTTGTAAGCTTTTTTGTAAGCTTTTTGCTTATAAGCAATGCTGCCGTAGTGTTTTTGTGGATGGAAGCTTTATACAGTTGAAATTTTTTTTTGAAGGAAGAACTCCCCGGAGTGTAATTATGGATAAAACATGAATGGATGTTCTCAAAACTATTGACTTGGATTGTCAAATTACTTTCATAGGGTTTTTGCTATCTGCATTTCTTATCATGTTGCAGGATGTCTAGTTTAGCTGTGTCCATCCTGAAGGAGGTAGGATGCATGGTTAATAACCCCGGTTCAGAACTAGATTGCTCACTGAAGAGCTTGCTCTGCCACTTACTCCATGATCTCAGATACTTAACTTAATCTCTCTGTGTCTCTGTTCTCCCTTTGAAGATGAGGATAAAAATAGAACTTCCTCACAATGAGAATGAAATGAATTAATATATGTGAGGAGATCAGAATTTGCCTGGCTAATGATGGCCAATGAAAGCAAACAGTGTCCTACACCAGGGTGTGGTGACTTAAATAGTGTCCCCCAAATTTCATGTCCACTGGGAACCTCAGAATGTGACCTTAGTGAAAACAGAGACTTTACACATGTCATCAAGTTAAGAGGTAGTCATACGGAGTCAGGGTGGACCCGATTCCAGTGGCTTGTGTCCCCACAAGAAGAGGAGGGAACACACAGAGATAGAGGAGAAGGCCCTGTGAAGATTGTGAAGATGGAGGCAGAGACTGCAGTTATACTTCCACAATCTGAGGGATGCCTGCAGCCACCAGCAGCTGGAGAGGCAAGGAAGGATTCTCAGAACCACCAGCAGGAGTATGGCCCCACTGCACCTTGATTTCTGACCTCCAGCCTCCAGACCTGTAGGAGAACAAATTCCTGTTGTTTAAAGCCATCGCATTTGTGTAGTTTGTTAGGACAGGGATACACAGGGTAAATCCAAAGTTTCCATCATTAGGGAGTATACCAAGTTATTTACATGAAATTGGCATGTCATAGCTATGAAAGGAAAATAATCAGAGTCCCCAGATTATTAAGCCAAAGGGAAAAGCCAAGCTGGAAACTGCCAAATACCTCCCATTCTATTCCTACGTAACATCGCTACAAAAATAAAAAAGCTACACACCTCCCTCACAATTTGCTCACAAGGAAATTCCTTGTGGATAAAGGACAGAACTCAAAGTCATTCACCTGCTCACATGAGACGAATATAATGAAAGAAAGAATGCGACTGTTTGTCACTTATCTACCTGTGACCTGAAGCCCCTTCCTACTTTAAGTTGTCCTGACTTTCCAGATCAAACCAATGTACATCTTACATATGTTGATTAATGTCTCATGCCTCCCTAAAATGCATCAAATCAACCTTTGCACTGACCACCTTGGGCAGGACTTTCTGAGGCTGTGCCATAGGCGTGCCCTTAATGTTGTCAAAATAAACTTTCTAAGTTGACTGAGATCTGTTTCAGATATTTCGGTTTCACATGGCCAAGCAGAATTGACGTAATTTGAGGTGACTAGGGATTCTAAACAGAGCTGTAGGCCAGCATGGCAGGGTGATCTTCCTGGGTGACATCAGCAAGCTGACAGACCCAGGGCACCTGTCATTCTGCACTCCTCCCCCACCCCTTCTGCTCCAGCCAGGTTCCCAAGAGCTTCTGGATGGATCTTTGTTCTAATTGGCCACTGATAATATGGGCTCATTTCCACGTCCCCTCTGTGCTAGACTGTAATGATGATTGATGCAGGTAGCAAATGGTCTAGAGTCGCCTCACAGCCTTATTATTGCAGATACAATTACCACCAGGCTGAGCTTGCTGCTATAGTATCTGATAATGGACTCTAATTTGTCAGTGGGGTTTGTGCTCCTTTGTTCCCAGACAGAGATCCATTTCTAAACTAGAGAGTAATTCATAAATATTTTTCTCTCCAGGCATGAGGCAAGGCCAGATTTAATTGCACAGTGAAAGGCAGTTCTACCCAGAAGCCACTGCAGGAGGCTGTGCTCTGCTAGGGAAGAGCCTACTCTACTGATCCAGTCTGTTCATTTTGCAGAAAAGCCCCTTGAGGCCCAGAGAGGTAACGTGACTTGTCCTAGGTCACACAGTGAATTATCTAGGTCTTTACGCTCTAACACTGCCTTCCTTGCTCCCTGAGCTGGAGAGTAAAGTAGCGAAGAATCGTGTGTTCTAAGCAGCCCTTTGGACTTGAGCCACGTTGACCTCTGCTTATTTGTATTTTTTTCTTTAGGAATTATATTTTTAAAAATAGTACATTGGTTGTTTCTATTTTGTAATAGTCAGAAGTTCATGGATGAGAATTTGGAAAATATAGAGAAATTTAAGAAAAAATAACCATGAAGAGATGACTTCAAGTTAGCATTTTTTCTTCACTTACAATTATTTTATGTACATGTGCACATTTTTAATTTGTATTTTGGATAAAATCGAGGTCACATTATATGTGCAGTTTTATATTCTGTGTTTTTCCATTTATTGCAGTTTATTTTCTCACATCATTAAATGTCATGTCGTATCTTCAAAAACATGTTTGTATAATATTATATTATACAGATGAAGTTATTTAAACATTTTTTCTATTGTCATTTAAATGGTTTTGTAATTTTGCAATTATAAATAACACCGTTGTGTTATTTAGGCATACATATTTATGATTGTCTCTGATTATTTCTTTATAATAAATACTTACATGTAGAAGTTGATGTCAAAGAGTGTGAATTTTTAAAGAGCCTTAAATAATACATATTGCTAAGTTACATGGTTTTTTATCAGAGTAAAAATTGAATGTTGGAATTGAAGTCAGAAAAACGGCTTGAATCTCAAGTTTACTTTTACTAGCTGTATGACCACAGCCAAATTCTTTTTTTCCCTTCACCTGATGTGTAAACAAATAACAACTACCTTATCAGGTTATTATGAAAATATTAGGTTGGTACAAAAGTAATGTAGAAGTAATTGCAGTTATTGCCATGAAATTAACAGCAAAAACCGCAATTAGTTTTGCACCAATCTAATAAAAGGAAATAAGTATTAAAATGCTTACACAACGACTAAAATTTAGCAGACACTCAGCAAATATTTACTGGTTTTGTTTTGAGCCTTTGCCTTCAGTGAGAAAGAAGCCAAGCACTGGAATTATCTAGAAAAAGGCCAGGGATTTTTATTTTCCAAACAGGTGATTATTGGTGTGGGGAGGACATAGTAAGTTTCTTCTGTCTGCCAGCGTGTTTGTCGATTCAATGGGATACCCAGGTAAAAGCTGCTCTCAGTTACTAATGTAAGAATGAAAACAAAGGCCAGGTTATACTGGCTCAGAGGACAGTCTCTGATTTGGCATTTTGATGATACCAATCTCCTATTGAGACTATTTTGGGAAGTCAAACTGCCATCAGAAAGTTAGGATTTACCTAATGCAACAGCCAACTGCAGACAAGTTTGATGTGGCTGTAAGCTCTCCTTGGAGGAGAAAGAGGAGAGGATGGTGGTGTATGAGACCAGGAAAATGAAACTCTAACACTGTATCTTTCCCAGCATCCTCAGGTTCCCAAAAGCAAACAAGGAGGTTGGGAAGAGGAAACCTGGAGGAAATAAGCTAAAACCAATCAAACACAGGCCTTGAATCAGCTGGACATGGATGCAAATCCAAGCTCTGACCCTCCCGAGCTATGTGACCTTGAGCAAGCCACTAGATCTTGACCTCTCTTGGTTTCCTGCTCCATAAAAGGATGATAATGTTGGCTACTCAGCAATGTTTTCTAATTAGGCTAAAAGGAAATGAATATGAAATAGAAAGTGGCCAATACATGGTAAGCAGGATTACTATTATTTATGTAATATTGGTTAGTCTACTATCTTATTTTCATAATAAAATGGAAACAATAAAAGTAACTTTTCCATGTCTCGATGTTATGAGGATTGTTGACAAAAAGATGCCAAAGTATCACGTCATCTGTGCAGTGCTGCAAAAGAATTGAGATTGGAAGGGAAGGGGCTCAGCCCTGAGCATGGGGGAACAAAGGGTAGCAGCTGCTAGAGGGTCTGGGACCTGGACGTCCTCCTGTGACTCCCTCATTGCCTTAGGTCTGCAGTTCGCTCACCACTTCCTTCAGCATTGCCCTCCAGTCAGTGCTTCCTGAGTGCTAAGATTATTCAAATGTTTAGTGTGACAAAATCATGCACGTCAGGATTTAAGCACCTCCTACAGAGACAGTTTGGGATCATCGATGCTTGTTTCCCAACAAGGTCTGTGGCGTCTGTGGTCTCCTTCCAAGGTGAAGGCCTAATCATAGCAGTCAGGGAACTTTGTGGAGAAGGGCGAGTGGGTGGTGCTTCCACCAACAGGCCCTGAACCTCCAACACCAGAATGGCTTCCTTCTGGCATCTTGCTGGTTACAGATCCATCTGAGAGGATCTGAAATGTCAGGCCCACCCCCGCCTACCTGACACAATGCATCTCTTCTCTCAAAAGTTCACCTTCTGCAGTTGTCATCAGGTATGTATCAGATTGTGGCCAGGGTGGATATTCTATGTGAAGCCAAATACTATTGATGACATGATTTTGAGCCATTTAAGTTAAATGCAGTGAAAGATTTTCATGAACCTGTGGAGTTAGGCAGGATTCCCTACAGAAAGATCAGTACTCTTAAAGCCTTCTTGTGCATTTGACTTACATTTAAGTTCTATGTGATACTCAAGCCAAACCCAAATGAACTCAACTCATTATTATTTGTAGTAGAAACTAGGAATCCTGCATTTTAGACTTTTCATCCTGTGACCCACAGTTTCAAAAGATGCTAACAAAACATAATTTCATCAAAGTTATTGTTGACTTGGGAGAACACAAGGGGAGGGGTAAATGATATTTCACAAGCTCTTCTTTGATGGCTCTATCACTTGCAGAGAGAGATGTGAGATATCTAATGAGAGCTTGCTGTAAAGGTACTGATTGCTGGTGGCAAGAGCCTCCTGGGAGTGGGAATAGAGAGGAGGGACTGCATGGCAAAGAGTGGTAATGAGAAATTAGAACTGAAGGGTTGGCCCCCAAGGAATGAGGGAGAAGAAATCTTGGGTTACTTCTAGGTTTTAACTTAAGTGACTGACTAGGCAACTAGAGGTATGCCCCAGGAGAAGCAAATGTAGAAAAAAGAGTGACTTTGCAGGGGTGATTGAGGGGGCCTGTAAGGAATCATCTAGTCTTGGTGACTGAGTCTTTTCCCCTGGGAAGCAAGGCATGGAGAGAGGTTCGTCCACAATTGTGTACATTTTCTCCAGAATTATAGAGAAGGAAACTAGTAGTCAGAAAAGAGACATTAGGTTCTTCAGCAATGCCAGGGATCAAATGTGAGAGAGAAAAGATTTCTCCTTGACTCATTCATCAGAGTGACAAAATACAGAACAGAAACCAGGGCATGGAGTATGTATCAGTTAGCTATGGCTGCATAGCAAATCACTTTAAAACTCAGTGAGTTAGAACATCAGCCACTTCTTACTTCTCATGAAACCATGGGTTAGCTAATCCATGATTTCCACTAATGAGAACTGGTCTTGGCTGATCTTGGCTGGACTTGTTCTTGCATTTTTGGTTAGCAGGCTGGTTGCCTGGAGCTAGCTGTTCTGGGATGGCTCCAGCTGGGATGACTCAGCTCTGCTTCCATCCTCCAGAAGCTTGATCTCACAACAGATGTGCGGTTGCAAGAGGAAGCAGAAGTGTGCAAGACCTCTTGAGGCTCGGGCTTGCACCTGGCCTGTTGTCATTTCTGCTGAAGAGTAAGTCACAAAGGCCAGCCCAGATTTAAGGGGTAGGGGAGTAAACTCCACCCACCTCTTGATGGGAGGTGCTACAGAGCCACATTACAAAGATGTGAATACGGGGAAAGATAGAAAATTGGGACAGTTTTTAGAAACAATCAACCCCCTTTGAAGTCCTGAGACCAGGAAAGCTGGGAAGAGCAGAGGCTGGGCAGAGGGAATACTGGCACTCAGAGTGGCCTTGTGCAAGGTTCAGTGCAGTGTGATGGGTGTGAAGCAGGTTCTTTTAAAGGGAATGGAACCCACTGGCCACCTGGATGGAAGTGACATAATGTGGAAGTTAAGCTGGCATGATGTTAGAGCAAATTCCTGTCTCCTTTTGCCCTCCAAACACTCGCATTATGGGGACACATCAATTTAGTCAAAAAGACTCATTAAAATCAATGCAACATCTCAGTATTGTGGATCTGTGAACAAGTTTTGAGTCTTTCCTTGAGAGAGTTTGCGAGTATAGAATAAGAGGGTTATTGGCCATTGCAGCAGAGCCTGGAGTTTAAAGCCTCACCTCTATCTCTGTTCTGCCAGGAAGCCCACGTTTCCTATGTGGAGCCAACTGAAACATCATATGCTGTTTGGCGTCTGCACACTGAATGGCTGAACGTGAATCAGCAATGTTGTGCAACTTTCAGAAAAACCAAGGTGTGTCCATGGGAGAACTAACAGGAATGAAGAATTTACCACCCCAAGAGAGGTTCTCATTATTTCCAAATTAGCCAAAACTCACCAGCATGTTCTGTTGACCTCTGGACATCACATAACAGTGTCATAGGAGTTATACGGGGCCCAGGAAATGAAGGTGGGGGTGAAGTCGGAGGAAGAAAAGGTCACAAGGAAAGAGCCAAGGCTTTGAACGAGACTAAAAAGAGAAAGCACAGAAGAGAGACGAACACGATTTTTGGTATAAAAAAGGCATTCATGGTGATGAAATGGGCCCCATCTCCATTGAGGAAAATAAGAGGAGGCGAGGAAGATGAAGCCACAGCACAGAACATGAAGGTTAGATTTAAAGGAAGAACTGTCACTGTTCTTAGGTGTTACTGAATTAGCTCTTCAGGAGCAGGAAGCAGGTTGAGTACTAGAATAAATGCAGCCTGTAGACACTGATGTTGCCGGGTAAGAAGGTTACCTGCAGAGCTACTGCATAAATCACTGTGAAACTTCCTTCATGGGGGTCTTTAAAATGAGATCACTGCTTTGAGGTGAGAGGCTGAGGGAACGATTAACTACCTGCTTGCACTACGTTCAAGGCCTTAACATGGAATAGCCACATGTGTTTGTGGGCCCCTGAGGTTTTTAAACTGTTGTGTTTCCTGTCTTTGCTAATCATTTCTAGTTTTAATAGTAAGGGTTTCCTCTGTTTTGAATGCCAGGAAACAAGTTATTTTCATCCTGGTAGTCACTGGAGCTTTGTAAGATCTTTATTCCTTTGTGGGGTTGGGTAGAGGATGGACACCTAACCGTGAACCTGAGAAACTTGTATGTGGGTTTTTCTGGAGCTCCTCACTGTAATGTGACATTGTCTCCAAAGCCAGCTCCATGCAGCAATTACCATATGGCCTTAGCTGGCCATGTCGGGTGCAGTGTTATTTGGGGCTGTTGACCAGAAGTAGGTCTGACCGAGATGCTTTGCGTTACAAGCAATGGAAGCAAAATCTGACATGAGCAGGAAAGATGGTTCCATCCTCACTTATAAAGCAAACAGGGGCCATGCTTGATAGAGAAAGGGGGAGAAACATGCAGGCCAGTGAGAAAACTGGGAAAGGGTGATGCTCCCACAGTGAACAATGAGCACATAGGTGTCAAGTGACTACAGCCAAGTGTGAGGCTGGGGATGAGTCAGCACAATAGAGGCAAAGGCAATCAAATGTCAACTACTACCCTCTGAGCCATGTGGGCAAAGGAGTCCTAATATTAAGGAGACTGGGAGCAAGCTATTTGGTGTTCTAAGGTGAGGCAGAGAAACCCTGCCTGTGGGCAGGGCCTAGATGACAATGTTGCTTGGGTGTCTGAAGTGAGTGATTCATCAGGGAGCTATAGCTGTTTACAGCTGACCCATGTGTTAAATATTCATCACCCAGAAAAGGGAAATGTGTTCCAGTGCCCCCACGCAAACCAAGGCTTTTCTGTTTGATTAGAAGATAAGTTTAAAAAAAATAAGGCAACACATTTTCTTTCTCTTAAGTTCCCTGGGAATCTTTCAGTAAGTTGAGGTTACTTGCAGGGTTTAAGTAAGTAAAAAAATTCTGTTTATTTGACATCACCTTTTTCAAAGTGTGTGTGTAGGAGGAGGTGGAGATGGGAACAAGGCAGAAGTCATTTCTGATGCAACGGAACTGGGATAACTTTCCCAGAGCACTGCGGTCTCTCATGACTCTCTGGTACTTATGTAGAAACACCTATGGAAGCAATTAAGCCATTTGATGACTGGTCTATCTGGTAGGTCCACAGGGGATTTCATGTATATTAGTAGATCACAGATGGAATACTATTATAAGTGATCATCAAATATAGTCAAGACCAGATGATTGCCTTTTTGGGCTGATCTTAGAAATACAGAGGAAAGTCTACATTCTGTACCTGAAATATTTGTCACTGATGAACTATTCCATTTAGACTACTTCCTCAGTTCCTTTACAATAATTTTTCAGCGATAGACTGGGCATGGTGGCTCATGCCTATAATCCCAGCACTTTGGGAGGCTGAGGCCAGAAGATTGTTTGAACGTAGGAGTTCGAGATCAGTCTGGGCAACATAGTGAGACGCTGTCTCTACAAAAAATAAAAATAAATATACAGCCAATCATGCTGGTACCTGCCTATAGTCCCAGCTACTCGGGAGGACTAAGGGGGGAGGATGGTTTGAGGCAGGGGGGTCGAGGCTGCAGTGAGCTGTGATTACACCATTGTACTCCAGAGCCTTGGTGACAGAGTGGGACCCTGTCTCAAATAAATAATAATAACAATAATAATAATTAGTCAGTGATAATATAAAACATGTATGTATGACTTTGAAGTATGTATATATGTATATATACATAATATTTCTTTGAATTAGATATTGTTAGCTCCAAATGATCTAAGAAAGCTTAAGTTATTGGCTTGGAGTCATACAGATGAGAAGTGGTGGAGGCGAGGTTGTTAATGGAGAATTTCCTAATTCTAAGTTCTCTTACATTTATTCTACACCCTAGCCAAGAAGAAATTTAAAAGAGGCAAGATAAGGGTGCTAAATCAGCAGGTGTTGGAGAATAAAGTTTCCAAGGAGTAAAGGCAGCAAGACCGAAAGGCAGACTTAGCCTCTTTAGCTATTTTTGCCTCCCTCCAAGCTTTGCACAGTGGGCTGGGGGCATAACTCTGTTGCTTGGAAGAGTAGGGTTCATCCATTGTACCATTTTACTGAGCCTCTACTTTGCACTAATCCCTGTTCTTATCACTGAGGATAGATTGAGGAGTAAGACACAAAATTTCTTCCTTCATGAAGCTTTGGTTTTGGGGAGGTAAGGGTCACCAAGCCTTATGGCTTAACTTCTTGTGGCTAACTTCTATCAATCAATCATCAGTGCCTTCTTTACTGAATTGTCAAGACTGAATAGTAAAATCATTACAAGGATGGGTTGGAATATACCCACTTTTCCACTCAATTTTCTGTGTGGTAAACGGTGACATAAAAATAACTAACTTGGGCCAGGCGCGGTGGCTCACGCCTGTAATCCCAGCACTTTGGGAGGCCGAGGCGGGCAGACCATGAGGTCAGGAGACCGAGACCATCCTGGCTAACACAGTGAAACCCCATCTCTACTAAAAATACAAAAATTAGCTGGGTGTGGTGGTACATGCCTATAATCCCAGCTACTTGGGAGGCTGAGGCAGGAGAATCCAGGAAGCTGAGTTTGCTGTGAGCTGAGATTGTGCCACTGCACTCCAGCCTGGGCAACAGAGCGAGAGTGAGACTTCGTCTAAAAAGTAAAAAGTTAAAAAAACAAAACCTAATTTGTTGGGAGAATTAAATAGGATTATGTAAGTAATGTGTTCAGCACAGTTCCTGACATACAGTGAGTGCATACCTATCACTGTCATCATATTACTTTAATATATGATGCCCATACCAGTAGCAGCAGGTTTTCCCCAGCCAATGGAGTTGAATTCAGTTGCCAAATTGTCCAAAACAAAGACTAACAGAGAATACCCTTCCTGGTGTGGGATCACTTCAGGCTGCATCTGAGACAGATGAAGCTCTATCGCATTCTCAGCTCATTTGATGTGACAGAGGAAGCAACGTGTTCCGGAGTGACCCGGGAGCTGTGTCCTTGCAGTTTTCTGAAAGCCCTTGTTAGAATGCATATGGCGAATCCCAGCACTTTGGGAGGGATATGCCACATAGGATAAATGTAAGATAACTCGGAATTAGGAAAGTCTCCATTAAAAACCTCACCTCCACCATTTCTCATCCATATGACTCCAAACCACAGCATAGTGGCTCTTGGAGGTTATGAAACTATGAAGTATCTCCTAATTATTCTTTTAAATAAACGTGCCCTATTTCCTTTTTTCCAAGAATACATTAACTGTAGTCATCATGTTATGCAATAGATCTCTTGAACTTATTCCTTGTGAGTAACTAAAATTTTGTATCCTTTGACCAGCATCTTCCCAATCCTACATGTACCTTATTTTCTACAGTGGCAAAGCAAGGAAAATTTTCCAGTGAATGCCTAGAAGATCAATGGCCTGGCAGGGGGTTCACAAGGATCAAGGGCCCCCTGTTCTCCAGTGGCAGAGCTTGTGCCCAAACTCAGCTTCCCGAGGACTGTGCCCCTTCCCTGCCTATGCAGCACTGAATCCAGCATCTTGCAAGGTCTCCGGGTACAAACGTGAATGTTCTCTGACAGCTTTGCCTACAGCTGGAACATATAACTGGATGGCAGGTGCTAACATTTCATCTGATCATTCTTCACAACCAAGGCTGTTTTTGACTCTCAATCTAAGAAGACAGGAAGGCAATACCGCTTTCCCAGAGCACAGACATGCGGTGTGTCTGCTCAAGTGCAGCTCTTCCTGGGATGATGACAGAGCAGATACTATGTGTCCCTTCTCGCCGATCTTGGCGTCTAATTCCCTCTTTCACAAAGCCTGTTCCTTCACCTTTATCACACATTCTGGTGGGGATCTCCTTTTGCTCATTACTCTATTACTCCTCACTAGAGAGAATGTATTCAAATGAGAGTCAAAGTGACTGCTAAACAACATCTATGTGAACTTGGAATAAGAATCCGTTTAATTACCCAGCATTCTTAGTTAAGCAGCTCCTGATAACACAGCGTTGAAAATCATTTTCACATAAATATAGGAAAGTAGCAAATTCAAGTAAAGAATGTAAAAGTACTCCAGTCCTACTTTCCAGCTTAAATAAAATCAGGGTAACCACTTAAGACATACTGTGTTTGCCTGTGACCGTGGTCCCATTGCCAGGAAAGGTTCCCTGATTCTTCTGCTGACTTTTTGCACTGCAGTTGTTTTTCCACTCTGAATTGTTGCCAGTACTATTTTTCTTTCTTTTTTTTTTTTGAGACGGAGTTTCGCTCTTGTTACCCAGGCTGGAGTGCAATGGCGCGATCTCGGCTCACCGCAACCTCTGCCACCTGGGTTCAGGCAATTCTCCTGCCTCAGCCTCCCTAGTAGCTGGGATTACAGGCATGTGCCACCATGCCCAGCTAATTTTTTTGTATTTTTAGTAGAGACGGGGTTTCACCATGTTGACCAGGATGGTCTTGATCTGTTGACCTTGTGATCCACCCGCCTTGGCCTCCCAAAGTGCTGGGATTACAGGCTTGAGCCACCGCGCCAGGCCCAGTATTATTTTTCATGTGTATATTTTCATTCCTCTTAAATTACTTCATAAGTGTATGTTTGATTTTCTTAGTGTATAAGCATCCCAGGGTCAAGAACTACATCTTATTTATTTTGTATCTCTCCACAGTAGACATTAAATAACTGATTTTTAAAACTATATTATTATGGTTAGAATAAAAATATCTTGTTTGAAAAATGTCCAAACCCAATGTCCAAGTATTGGGAAAAAATAAGTAAAACCAATAATTATGTTTCTTTTTACCCATTCATTCCTACAGATAATTTATGATATTTGTCAAATACAGGCATGAATTATTTTGTGGATCTTGGTATCTTTAGAGAGGCAACAAAGTCCACATTTTTTATTGTCTCTTTGTCTCATTTCAGGAATCAGTTTTTTGAATTTTGATGGAGGCTGCTAATGCCTCCTCTGTAGCTATTATGATGAGGGCTTCCAAATATACTGTCTTATGTCGTTCTCACATGGCTACAGGGAAATACCCAAGACTGAGTAATTTATGAAGGAAAGGGGTTGAATTCACTTACAATTCTGTATGGCGGGGAAGGCCTCAGGAAACTTACAATCATTGTGGAAGGTGAAGGGGAGGCAGGCACCTTCTTCATAAGGCGGCAGGAGAATGACTGCAGGAGGAACTAGCAACACTTATAAAGCCATCAGATCTCATGAGAACTCACTGTCATGAGACCAGCATGAGGGAAATAGCTGCATGAGTCAGTTACCTCCACGTGGTCTCTCCCTTGACTTGGGGATTATGGGGATACAATTTAAGATGAGATTTTGGGTGGGGACACAGCCAAATCATATCACATACTTACTCATCCTACTGCATTTTTAATTAGGAACAGATTCAAATCAGAGAAATGTATTAGTGAGAACGGGAGGTAGTTATTCCTCTCTTCTCAAGTTTGTGTGAGCATAAATAGGGGGAACCATCCCTGATCTTTGGGTAGTGTCCATTAGCCTTTCAAGGTATGCTTGAAACTCCCTCAGATTTTACTTTGGCACGGAGGACAGGCTCACCAAATGTTTTCACATGGTAATATCGCTAAATAAAACAGAAAGCCACCACTAAATAAACACACAGCTTCAGAAATAGAGCTTTACCACAAAGCACTTAGCCAGCATGGATTTTTAAATGCATGTTATAGATGTACTGATGCAGTGAACCTATTAAACCTTAAGATGTTTAAATTAGATTTTGGAATCAAATATTACTCGTCAGTAATCCAAGGATTTTTATCCCCCCTCCAGAAGTTTGATTTAATGAAAAAAAAATTCCAAACTTATGTTTCTTTTAAAGTGAAAGCAAGTTTATTAAGAAAGTAAAGGAATGAAAGACTGAATTATTCATGAGTTTTCTGGGAAGGGTTGGCAATTTCCCCGGAACTGAGGGTTCCTACCCTTTTCAAACCATATAGGGTAACTTCCTGATGTTGCCATGGCATTTGTAAACTGTCATGGTGTGGTGGGAGTGTCTTTTAGCATGCTAATGCATTATAATTAACATATAATGAGCAGTGGGGATAACCAGAGGTCACTTTTATCGCCATCTTGGTTTTAGTGGGTTTTGGCCAGTTTCTTTACTGCAACCTGCCATAGTTATTTTGATTGCCTTTCTTGCATCTAGTTTGGTGAACAAACTAGTTTTTGGTATCTACACTATCTTTATGTTGAAACATGGGCGTTTCAAGATGAGAAAAGGCTGGGAGAGCAGGAAAGGGAGAAGGAGAATGAGAAAGATTGCAAAGAAAGGAAGGAAGAAAGGGAGAAAGGAAAGCCAAGAATTGGAAGAAGGGGTTTGAGGAATGCAAGAATACAGAGGAGGATGGAAGAGAAAGACTAGTCTGGGAAAGTTTCTCTAAACCTATAGGAACTGGGCAATTACATCGAAAATGTCTCAGATGAATAGCCCAGGAACTCTTTGTTAGAAAGATGAGCACAGATTGCCCGTGCTTTTGTGAGCAGAGGTCATACTCCCTTTCTAAGCAGCCCCTATGTGGATTTTGTGGGCATGGCCCTCCTCTGTAGAAGATGCTGATGCTACTCGATATGTTTCCCTTTGGTTCTTCTGCCATATTCTTGCATGGCTTTCACTCCCCACAGCCAGCATCATTGAGTCTCCTTGTCTGAGGACCACAACTGTTCTTGGGCTATAATGACACCTTCAACTAGGCTTCCTCTCCACATTCTGAAAGCTGGAAGTGCCCGGGAACATACATCCTCATCTAATTCCCCATGGTTGTCCTTGATGGGGGGTAGCTGATGGATACAGTGTTATCAGTATTCCAGCTCTCTTGTCCCTTCATCTCTGAGGTGTGATTGCTGTGTCTCTATAGTGTCCTCTGCAGGACTGAGCTGCCTTCCCTGCCTTTCTCCACTTCCCTATGCCTCTCCTGGTTTCCTAAACTCACTTGCTAATAAACCTGATGAAACCCCATCTCAGGGATCTGGGATCTTGATCTAAGACAACCTGATTCACCTACAAGCCAAGATTATTCCAACAACCATTGAGATGTTTCCTTGGTCCTCAGAAGTGACCCAACAGTGTGGAGGATTTACTCTATGTGTAGGTCTACATTTGTAATTATAGGCTACATTCCCGAAATACAGTCTCCCTCTGCCCATACTTTTCCCTTCCAGCACTTGGCTTCTTCACCACTTGTGTCCTGGAATATGTGGGCATCTGTCTTGAACCACATCCTTGGAGACCTCTGCCCTCACAGTCTCCTTGCCCCTCCCAGACTCTGTGTGGTTGCCAGAGCTCGGCTCCTTCTGCAAGTCTAGCAGGCATTTTTCTTCAGACCTGGGTGTGCTTGGGAGTTGGCTCAATTTTAGCACCCATCCCTTTAACCACTGTCTGCTGGCATCACCTCTGCTGGAATGGGTTGGAGCCCACAGGAGCGAAAGGCAGATTTCTTCACTCACAGCCTGTGGTTTGAATACACATTTATTACCCAACCCAAGACAGAAGTTAGAATTGGAGTTGGGGGGAGTGGGCACTGAAGTAGCACCTGAGTTTTTATAATTTTGAAAGAGGCAGCTGAGGTTATGTTTTCTAGCCCTTGTGATTTCATAACAGGAATGCTCTGAAGTTCTTGTGGCTCACCATCTTCAGTGAATCAGTTCTCAGGAATCTAGTTTAGAGGGGGTCATTTTTAATCCAAAAGTACTATTGAAAGTATGTCTGGATCTACTCATTTCTTCTTCCACTTATATAAAAAGAGAATGGACAATCACGCTCCTTTTCAAAGTTAGAAAATGGGAGTGGTGATGACAATTTGTCCTTAATAAGGTTGTTCTGTATGAATCCAAGCTGGGGATAGCTCTCTGCTGGTGGGTTTATGGAACAGACAGATGCATCCCATCAGGAAGCCAATTGGAAGCACAATTTCCTCTAAAAAACCCTGCAGTATCTATTGAGCACCTACTGTATGCTCAGTAATGTAGGGACAGGTGATATTGGTGCCAGTGGCGATATCTTATAGTGACTTTATTTGCTCTCCAGGAATTACATTGCTTGTAAAATATGTTAATTTTGACATCTTTGACCAAGAAATTTTATTGCAAATAGTGACATAAGAAATCATTCCTGGATAGAGAAATCTGAGAATTTTATTTAAGTTGTTGCATTCTTGAAATAAGCTGTCCGGTTATGTTGGAGATTCCCATGTCAGTGGTCAGCTGCCTCCTTCTTATCCTAGTTGCAGAAAAATTGCCATGAGCCATGACTTTGGAGGGAGCTGTTTCTTTTTTTGTTTTAATTAATTTGTCCATAGGTTATTGGGGTACAGGTGGTGTTTGATCACATGAGTCCATCATCTGAGCCCCAAATCTCCTTAAGATGATAAGCAACTTCAACAAAGTCTCAGGATACAAAATCAATGTGCAGAAATCACAAGCATTCCTATACACCAATAACAGACTAACAGAGAGCCAAATCAAGAGTGAACTCCCATTCACAACTGCTACAAAGAGAATAAAATACCTAGGAATACAACTAACAAAGGATGTGAAGGACCTCTTCAAGGAGAACTACAAACCACTGATCAAGAAAATAAGATAACACAAACAAATGGAAAAACATTCCATGCTCATGGTTAGGAAGAATCATTATCATGAAAACGGCCATACTGCCTAAAGTAATTTATAGATTCAATGCTATCCCCATCAAGCTACCTCTGATATTCTTCACAAAACTAGAAAAAAACCACCTTAAACTTCATATAGAACCAAAAAAGAGCCCATATAGCTAAGACAATCCTAAGCAAAAAGGACAAAGCTAGATGCATCACACTACCTGAATTCAAATTATACTACAAGTCTACAGTAATCAAAACAGCATGGTACTGGTACCAAAACAGAGATATAGATTAATGGAACAGAACAAAGCCCTCAGAAGTAATGCCACACACCTACAACCATCTGATCTTTGACAAACCTGACAAAAACAGGCAATGGGGAAAGGATTCCCTGTTCAATAAATGGTGTTGGGGAAACTGGCTAGCCATGTGCAGAAAGCTGAAACTGGACCCCTTGCTTACACCTTATACAAAAACTAACTCCAGATGGATTAAAGATTTAAATGTAAGAGCTAACACCCCAAAAATCTAGAAGAAAACCTAGGCAATACCATTCAGGACATAGGTACATGACTATGTTCTTTAGTGGTGATTTGTGAGATTTTGGTGCATCCTTCAACTGAGAAGTATACACTGCACCCTATTTGCAATCTTTTATCCATTACCACCCTCCCACTCTTCCCCCAGGTCCCCAGAGTTCATTGTGTTATTCTTATGCCTTTGCATCCTTGTAGCTTAGCTCCCACATATCAATGAGAACACATATCAGTGAAAACATACAATGTTTGGTTTTCCATTCCTGAGTTACTTCATTTAAAATAATAGTCTCCAATCTCATCCAGGTCTCTGAGAACGCCATTAATTCATTCCTTTCCATGGCTGTTAATAGTCCATCATATATGTATACCACAGCGTCTTTATCCACTTGTTGATTGATGGGCATTTGAGTTGGTTCCATGATTTTGCAATTGCAAATTGTGCTGCTGTAAACATGCATGTACAAGTATCTTTTTCATACAGAGACTTCTTTTCCTCTGGGTAGATACCCAGTAGTGGGATTGCTGGAGCAAAAGGTAGCTCTCTACTTTTAGTTTTTTAAGAGATCTGAGAGCTGTTTCTGGTTGTCTTTTTTTTTTTTTGACAATCAGCAACATCTAAAATTATGAACATTATGTACATATCCTTGTCTTTTTGACATTATTAACTTAACCTTGTCTTTTTTATGCATCTTATTTCTTGAAATCTCTTGTAAGTAATCAGCTTTAAAATATTTAAATGTAATTATTTGGGCCATAAATTAATGAAAATAAACATTCCTGAGAGAGATATCAAATTGGAACATATAACCATTTTTTTCTAAGAGCAGTTTTTAATTAAATGATTATTTCAAAACTATCAAGCTTGTTTAAAAACCAAGAAGCATGAAAGTAAAAAGTACTCACCTCTCTCCTAAAAAAACTTCACTTTCTAGATTTGACCTCCACAGCAGTCTGTATGCGTAACTGAGCTTTAAAATGTTACTTGCAGTACCGAGACAAGAGATTCCAAAGGGAAGGGAAAATCTGCCCAAAGGGGATGGTCAGATAACAATTATATAACTCATGTACCTCTGACAATAAAGGGTTAGTTTTGTGGAGCTAAATAAGGAGGTTTGGGGAGGAAGTTTTTGAAGAGCACTGTTGAGGTATTGCAAGTCTCCCTTCCAAAGTGATGCCTATGGGGAGTTTTAAGATCACTTAAAGTTTTAAGGTACCCTTGAAGTTTTGGGGGTTGCTGGGCCAGTATATAAGTTAGATTTTAATTAGTGTTATTACACATAATTCATTTAATTTGTATAAAATTTAGATTTTTTTCCAAGCAGAAAAATCTAAGAGGTGGGAGTTTGGTTGGCTAGCAGCTCTGAGTGAGGGAGAGATTGCTGCTGGTTGGGAATGTTCTATTCTTCCAGAGTTGGTAGTAGCCAAGGTTGGGTGAGTGTTAACTATGGACTGGATATAGGCTGTATTTAAGGAAAAACCAATGTGGGATCGACTCCAGTCCAGTTCAAGGTGGCAGCTCAGTAAAAAAGGCAAGAGGTGAGTATAGGCATTCCAAGGCTGAGATGAGGAAGGAGCTGAGTCCAAGTGCTGAGTAGAAACAGGGATGCATCTGTGAATATTAATGGAAGTGTAGGAGAAACTTCTTCAGGAATAGGATAGGAGGGGAGGGCTTCTAAAGAACCCATGAAAGTTCCCACAAGGAAAAAATCAGCATAAACTGTGTCAAGACCAGAGATCACTGGCATTAGCTCACTTCAGTACCAAAAAAGGAAGAACTCTTTCCTTTGATCCTTTCCTGGGCTCTAACCCTGGAGGATCAAGAGCGAGGGGAGTGGACAAAGGAGGCAGGCAACTAACGCTTCCCAAGGATGACTTGCTACCCGCAATAGACCCAGAATGGGAAAAAGGGGAGAAATCTCAAATTTAAATCAAATTTGGAGTGTTGATTATTAGATGAATATTACATAATTACTAAATTGAAACTATGTTCTACATCTTAAAATGACTGTAGGAATTTCTATTATGTGGAAGTAACCATGGGCCCTGCCTGAATTTATATCCAGGGTCAAAGGAGAAATAACTCACCTTCACTAAATAAGCATCAAGGGATAAAAGATGGCTCGTGAGTCATACTTGTCTAACATGAGAGTTATACAAATGCATACAGGCATAACTTAGGCATGTTGCCAATTTGGGTCTAGACAATTGCAATAAAGCAAATACTGCAACAAAACAAGTCGCATAAGTTTTGGGCCCAGTGCATATTAAAGTTATGTTTATACTCTACTGTAGTCTATTAAGTGTGCAATTAGCATTAGGCCTAAAAAATGTAAATATCTTTATTGCTAAAAAGTGTCAATGATCATCTGAGCTTTTGGCAAGTTGTAATATTTTTTGCTGGTGGAGGATCTTGCCTCAATTTTGATGGCTGCTGAGTTATCAAGGTGGTGGTTGCTGAAGACTGGGATGGCTGTAGCAATTTCTTGAAATAAGACAATGAAGTCCTTCACGTCACTTGAGTCTTCCTTTCACTAAAGATTTATCTGCAACAAGCAGTGCTATTGGATAGCATTTTACACACAATACAATTTCTTTCAAATTGGAGTCAATCTTCTTAAACCATGTTACTGTTTTATCAACTTGGTAGATGGGATACTCCATTTTTTTTGTTACGGTTTCCACAATGTCACAGCATCATCACCAGGAGTAGATTCCATCTCAAGAAACCATTTTCTTTGCTCATCCAGAAGAAGCAACTCCTTATCCATTCAAGTTTTATCATGAGATTGCAGCAATTCAGACCCATTTTCAGGTTCCACTTCTAATTCTAGTTCCATTGCTGTTTCCACCCCATCTTCAGTTACTTCCTCCACTGAAAGCTTGAATGCCTCACAGTCATCCATGAGGGTTGGAATCCACTTATTTCAAACCCTGTTAGTGTTGATATTTTGACCTCCTTCATGAATCACTAATGTTCTTAATGGCGTCCAGAATGGTGAATGCTTTTCAATAATTATGGCAGCTACAGCCTTACAAAATGTGTATTTAGAATAATAAGACATGAAAGTTGAATTATTCCTTGATACATGAACTGCAGAATGGATGTTGTGTTCGCAGTCATGAAAACAACATTGTTCTTTTTGTACATCTCAAATAGAGCTCTTGAGTGAGTAAGTGCATTATTATCAATGAACATCTTGAAGGGAATCTTTTTATTTTTTCACTGAGCAGTGGTTTTCAACAGTGATATTAAAATATTTGGCAATATCTGTTCCATTCTGTAAACAGATATTCTGTCATCAGGCTTTATTGTTCCATTCATAGAGCACAGATAGAGTAGAATTAGCATGATTTTAAAAGCTCAAGGATTTTTGGAACAGCAAATGAGCATTGGCTTCAACTTAAGCTCACCAGCTACATTAGCCCCTAACAAGAGAGTTGGTGTATCCTTTGAAGCCAGGCGTTGACTTCTCTGTGGCTTTTAAAGTCCTAGATAACACCTTCTTTTAACAGAAGATTGTTTCATCTACATTAAAAAACTGTTGTTTATGTAGCTACCTTCATCAGCAATGTTAGCTAGATCTTCTGGATAATGTGCTACAGTGGCTCCATGAGGACTTGCTGCTTCACCTTGCACTTTTATGTTTCGAAGATGGCCTCTTTCTTTAAAGCTCATAAACCAACTTCTACTAGCTTCAAACTTTTCTTGCATAGCTTCCTCACCTCTTCCAGCCTTCACAGAGTAGAAGAAAGTTAGGGTCTTGCTCTAGATTAGGCTTTGGCTTAAGGAAATGTTGTGGCTGCTTTGATCTGCTATCCGGACCACTAGAACTTTCTCCACACCAGCAGTAATGATGTTCTGCTTTCTTATCACCTATGTGTTCACTGGAGTAGCTGTTTCAATTTCCTTCAAGAACTTTTCCTTTGCATTCACAGCTTGGATAACTGTTTGGCCTGAGAGGCCCAGCTTTTGGTCTATCCCAGCTTTCTCCATGCCTTCCTCACTGTGTAATCATTTCTAGTCTTCAGTTTAAAGTGAGAGATGTGTGACTCTTCCTTTCACTTCAGCACTTAGAGATTTGTGTAGGGTTAAGTGACCTAATTTCAGTATTACTGTGTCTCAGGGAATAGAGAGGCCCAAGGAGGATAGGGAGAGCGATGAGAACGGTAGGGCATGGGGTGAAGCAGTGAGAACATAGACAATATTTATTGACTAAGTTTGGAATCTTTGTGGGCATGGTTCATGGTGCCCCCAAATAATTACAATAATAACATTAACGATCACTGATCACAGATCATCGTAACAGACATAATAATATTGAAAATGTTTGAGATACTATGAGAACTACCAAAATGTGACACAGGGACATGAAAAATGGTGTTGGAAAAAGGGTGCCAATAGACTTGCTTGATGCAGGCCTGCTACAAATTTTCATTTTGTAAAAAGCACGTATCTGTGAACTGCAATAAATCAAAGCACAATAAAGAGATATGCCTGTGTATGAAAGCACAAACACACATACACGTGTATCAAAATTACAGTTCTCAACACGTGCTCAAGGATTAAGTATTCACTGGTGTCTACTCTAAGAACAGCAGTAATCTTGACTGACTTTTCTAAGAGCAGGACATTACAAGGACCAAGCAAATTGACACCTAGATAATATTCAATAAATCTTCTTAGAATAGCATGTCATTATATTAATTGTGCTCATTTGGACAGTTACTTCATTATTCAGAGTAATTAACAGGTAAGTCTTAACCGACAAAAGACATATCTTAAAATCTCAGTAGCTTAACCAGTAAATGTTTATTTCCTATCACCTCTCTATCTGATTCTGGTGGAGAGGGCTCCTTCATCTGGAACCCATAGCCTCCATGAGACTGAGGCCAGAGCCCAGCCATGTGGCCCCAACCATGGGGCTGAGGAACTCAAAGGAGTGTACAGTGTTTGGAGAGCACTTGCTTTCTCTGCCACAGTGATTCACCATATGCTCATCAATATTGATCGACCAACTATTGTGTAAATCAGATGCTTTTTGGTAGAAAAAAATCACAAACATTAGAATCAGACCCATCTGGTTATGATTCCCTACCACTTGCTAGATACTAATAATTAGCAAGTTTCTACACCTTTCTGAGTCTTATTTTCCACATCCATAAAATGAGAGTAGTTATATGAACCCCCATAGGATGATTATACGTATAAAACGAGATACATATATAAAGTTCTTTGCGCATTAGTGATATGAATAAATGCTGGGTTTCTTTTGCTATGTTCCTACAGGGCGCTACTGGCAGAGTTATACAAGACAGAAAGATTTCTAAGTAATGGTCCTCATTCTCAAAGAGTGTGCAACCTTGGAGACAGCAGCAATGCAAGTACACAAATA